ATCTGTCTATCTATCTATCTATAACCTTAATATGTGTCTATCTGGGGGGGCGTGACATGAAAACATTTGAGAACCACTGAAGTATGATACCGATGATCTCTTCCAAGATTGTCAGCATCGAATTGGTGGTCCAGTCTTTGACTTCTGGTTTTCCAAAAAGCAGAAGGATGGCCCTGGCCAGGTCCCACAGAGCGCCGTGAGGAAGCCCCCTCTCCACCAGATCCTGCCAACCGAGAATGCCTGCATGGAGGAAAGCACTTCACTTACTAACTGTTGTCATACTATACCACATCTCAATGAAAGAGAAACAAACATGAAAAAAAGTTTACTGTATCTTACCCTCAGGCCTCAGAGGTCCATAGAGGATGAACAGTAAATGTGCCTGGCTGACCATTGGCCAAGGCTTCAGGAGCTGTGTTAGCCAGAACTGACAATCCGGCTGGTTCGGCCACGGGTCCAACAGAACCTGACGACAGAATAAGCGGAGCTGTAGCTCCTGGTACCATCTCACCCCTGAGGACAGGTCAACGAGTAAAGAAAGAATAGTTTGTTTGTATCAAGCCTTTTAAGACTTTCACAAGGCTCAACAGTAAAAGGCCCGACGCCAGTAAGAGGCTGTAAAGTCACCCACAGCCAAAGATCTGACTCAGGGAAACTGAGATTAATATCTTAAATTCAATGTAGACTTCACCAGTTTTCATCAAATTGTTTAATTTTCTGCATTCTGCTCGTGCCATCAGAGTGATTTTGAAAGATGTAGTAATCACACAGAAAATCCACATTCCCATTTAACGTCCTCTCTGAAAGACTGCTCTCCATAATATACTTCTACTCTGTCCTCTCTCGTATTCAATAACAGTTTCCCTTCCAGACACTGAAGCACACACCTGGTTTTCCAGTGATGACTGTCTCAGTTTTCTGCAGCAGATTTGTGAGGTCACACAGGAAGCTGAAGACTCTGTTGCACTCCAGCTCATCCCAGCCTGCGATCAGTGTCTGTAAAGTAATCAACAGAACACACCCTAACTAAGGGTGTCCCAATCCGATCTCCACGATCGCCACTGGCACCGATCAAGACATTTTTACGAGTTTTATTGATCCAATCTTTTACTTTACTCGTGAGGCTTTCATGCACGGTGCAGCTATTGTCAGCTCTCTCCGCTGTCTCTTTTCTCTCCACTCTGTTCAGCTCTGTGTGTGAGTGAGAGCAGAGGCAGCCTCAGCCTCTGCTCCGAGGACAGAGCGGTAGAGATTCGACACAACTACAACCAACGCACCACTGCAAGTGCAACAAAACGTCCCACAAATGAAAACCCAATAAGAGGAATTCATTAATGTAATCCCAACAAAAGATGTAGAGACGATGGAAATAAACGCTAAAATACAGTTCATTCAGGTAACTCAGGTAAAGGCTGCAGTGAGAAACTCCCTCCAGACAGAGTTACAGCTTTAATGCAGGCATTGTGTTTCTTAATGCAATGCAGAGCTACTCAACTGTCAGGCATGTACATTGGATTGATACTCAATATTAAATGACTCGGATCGAATCAGGGGCTAAAGAAACGTTCAGTAACAGAAATGATTTTTTTTTTAAACAGTTTTCAGGTACTGGGACTCTTGATTCACATGAGTGGCCTGAGATTTCTAAACAATCATATACGGCTGCGTAGGTGTCTGAGGCGATATCATATTATACAGATGTGATTTTGTGTGTGTGCTGTGTTATTTGAGCTATAGTTGAATAAAGACTAGATGTAAGGAGAATTTGCAAATGCACAAAACTTATTAGCTCCATAGAAAGCTTCATGTCACTACTAGGCTGTAACAACAGGATGTACGTGTTTGTTACTTAAAAGGAGAGAGTAGAGGAGGATCTCCTGAAGCTTAGAATCATGCAGTAATTATTGATCTGCCCTTAGCTGCACCTGGTTTGTGATTTCCCTTTTAATTACATCCAAATTTCAAATTTCTGCCTTTGTTTGAAGCCCTCACCTGGAGGAAGACTCCATAGCTTGAGAAGCCGATGCAGTCTGGTGTTAAACACTGCTCCAACATGAAGCAGGGAATCTGAAACAGATCAGTGGGACAGCTTTTAATTTTCCTCATAATTAGCTGGTTATGATCAATAAAATGTAGAACTGGAGGTATGTTGGCTTCTAAAAAGATTATTTGAAAGAACTCAGTTGGAAGCACATCGTTAAAGTTAAAAGTTGTTAATATTTGATTCAATTATGTACCTTTAAAAGAATATATGGCATATATTGCTATATCGTTTCCCTAATGATTCCACACTTCTAAATATAATTAATTAACTGCATGTTAAGTGCATGTTCATAATTGTATTTTTTTTCCATGTTCTTCTTTTTCCTCCGATGCAAACCTTTCTTTTCTACGATGTTAAAAAATAAGTGTAAAGGTAAAGAGAAACTCAGTAATTCCTACTTATACAATTATTCTGACTCTAAAGCGATGAATACAGAACAATGGGCCTCATGCAAGAACCACTCGGACGAACACATTCATTCTGTAATAATAATAATAATAATAATAATAATAATAATAATAATTGCTGGTACCAGTGAGTCAGGTCACAATTAGTCTGCTATTATCCAAACACACGTTTTTTTCCATATATTGGATTACTATAAACCAATTTTGATTTCCTATTTAAATAACACTTCATAATTACATTGACATCATCCTGTTTGACTGTACAGTCCCAATTATAATACAGCCTAGAGCTAAATGTATCATACAGCCAAACAACATCATCATTAATTTAAATTGGCTATTAATGGGGTTAAAGTTGTCTTCACATTAAGACAATGACAATCCAACGCCACCTATTATGGAACATATTCTTTCGTCTGTGATGCAGACTTTCTTTTGACCTCCACCCGCTGAGTTCATCGATCACCTCGCTTTTCCACTTCTTCTCGATTTCAGCAACAGTACGCCCCTCAGGTGACACTGCGCTCGTTCATTTTTTCTCGCTCATTGGCTTTAGCAGGTCCTTTAATTCCACACCTGACGCTGTTAAAAATGATAAACTTTCCTTTGTTGATCTCAGAGAGCAGGACTTCAGTCTCCAAACTCGTAAAGTTCTTCTTTTTACTCTTCCGTACCATTTTCGTGAACACATGGGGCAGGTGTTTTTGGGGCGTTAGTTGCGCAAATGTTCTATTCTCATGAACGTGTTACATTACATACAGGTGGCATTCATCATTTTTACGCAGGTGATTTACACAGAAATCATAAGTTATGAGTGTTTGCTAAATCTAACACTACACACTTGCACGAGTACAATAAAAAAAGTGCGAGAAAGTTAAGATAAGAATAGGAAAACGTTCTTGCATGAGGCCTAATACTGATTACTACTTCCTCTCACCTCTCCTTTTCTTACCTGTGAAAACTTGCTAAAGATAAACTTTAACCTGTCCTTTGTTGGTAGCAATAGCGTGCATCTCTTGAACAACAAACCTGAGACATTGAACACAAGAGCACATTATCAAATAAGAATATTCTGGTCTTTAAAAGCCCTTCACTTGACAGGGAAGTTTATCCCCAGTGTGGTGATCATTCAAATGTATGTTAAACGCTGGGAGAGGCTTTCAGCAAAATGGCTTGTTAGTTATATAAATCTGTCATATTAAGTCCGAAAAAAGAGCAAAACAAACAAAAACATTCATGAAAACATGAACTGCCACTTACCCAGGTCTCTGTAGCGTCCAATAGTGAATCTCTGTTCAAGACAGGTGGAGCGGTGAAAGCTCTGAATGATCATTTTATTCCTCCAGGCCAGGGTGGAGATGTAGTTCGCAACGTATCTCGTGATCTCCTTGGACACCATGCTGAACACACTGATCTCCAGCACTGAAAAACACACACTTTTTATTAATTAAATATGTTATATGTCTAAATTAATCTTTTACAGTGCAATATGGAAATTCCCCCTATCGCACTACATCAAAGAAGTTTTAAAAATCAATCAAATATTAGGACTGGAAAAGCAAGGTTCTCTTAACATATTCTACCAAGTGCTTTTTAAAATACTACACGACATTTATTGTTAATATATGTATAAACCTTATAGTTTATACTAGATATTCAGAGTATTTGTAACATTTCAACAGCTTATTAGTTGAGATTCAGCAACTGTTTTCTGAAATTACACCACTGTGGTTAAGGTTTGGTTAGGTTTAGGCACAAAACACATTCATGAATGGTCATAAATATCTACAGAAACAGTTGAAATGTTACAAATACTCAATAAACTATCTCCAAATAAAATGTTGAGTATTTATATTTATCCCTTACTGTTTATTTTGTATTACCACTATATGTACATTAGCAAAGTCAGCAGAGCCAGTGAAATACATGAAAGCAAGAAACATAAGAAATACACAAAACTACATACTTAATAAATACTAAATATACTAAAATTCAGCTTATTTACAGACAAATCTATAAATTACAGTATGTATGTATTGGGGATTTGATTTAAATGTATTTGTTAAATACAGTTTCACTTACATTATGTTACAATGCTACATTATTCTAATCATTATAATTATCATTATTTTGTCACCTACCGGACAGTTTATCCAGGATCATGTCAAACACCTCCGACGGGAGCTTGTGAAAGCAGCAGCCGCTGGAGGAGCTCTGGCTGCGGGTCACGATGGTTCTGGTGGGTCGGTACCGCGGAGGGGTCCTCTTGTGCAGCCGGGACTTGTGTGTCAGTGTGTACATCCCAACATTTCTGGAGGCTTTCCTCATTGTTACCCACCGCCGCTGAATGAACTGGGTTCAGAGAGAGGAGGGAAAAATCTGACATGAAAGTGAAAAAAAACGTTTTAAAAGTTAAAACAAAACAATGAAGTTAAATAGCTAAACTAGCGAGCTAACCGTGGTAGCTAAAACTGAACCTCTAGACAAAGAACTAATAAGTTTGGGGGTTTATTAACTTTTACATTTAGTAGTCACAGACTGAGACATATAATTAACAGGCATTAAAGCAATATATTGTCTTAACACGTACCAATAGTAGTAAGTTAGTAGTCCTTATAAAGGAAGTGAAAGTCAGCTACTAGCTTAACTGTCTGATGAGTCAACAACGGCGCCAAATACAAGATATTTTACTGAGAATCAACTTTTTATTGATTTATTAATATATATTCATATCTAATTATTAATATACATACTGTCAATGTAGTCAGCTGAAGTCTCCAGGTCAACCAGTGTCTCTACCTCCTTTGCTTTGCTGTAAGAAAAGAGGAAAACTATTCAGTATCCAAGTAAGGCCTCCCTTTAGGACAACTAATGGCAAAAAGCAAAATATACTTATTAAGGCTTTTTACTTTTAATAGACAAAAAAAAACTATTACAAAATAGACAAGACGTAAAACAATGGCTACAAAAGGTGGATGAGATGTTTATTGTGGAAAAAGGTAACAGCTGAAACTGGTTTATATGGTAAGTGGTGATAAATCTAAGTTGCTAAATCTGTTTATTTATTGTATTAATTTTTTTAATTTTATTTTTTTTTCTGTGGTCTGTTGTCGATATGTCTATTTTATGAAATGCCATAAAAGAAAATATTTATTTATAAGCTGAAGAAATGTTTGAATTGTATGGCACAAATAAAAAGTATCCAAAATACTAGGTAGGTATTAAAAATGCCATAAAAATAATATAATTAGCAGAGGCTATTAAACCTTAAAATAAAGCAAAAGTTGCACAAACTAGAGTTAAAAAGAGAAAAATATTCAATGTGTTCAGTATTGCAGTATTTATACTACTAGAATATAGTTTGTTCTGAAATAATAATGTTAATACTAATTAATATTATGGGTTTAATAGGTTTTCCAGTCTTGTACCGATAGTTTTGTTTCTCAAATATCAAATTATAATCCAGCTGTTGATCATAAAGTATACAGATTTAATATAATTTTACCCAGTTATATTAGAGGCCTACTGCTACACCCACACTGGTCCTTTTCAATTATTTTGGCTGATTAGTGACTGTCAGGAACAACTCTTACCTTTCTCTTTAGTATTAGTTCATAAAGTTAGGAGACCTCACATAACTCCCATCATCGCTCCACCCGACCCCCGCCTGAGCAGAGGTCTAATCAGCCAGAAAGGACCATAGTGCAGACTGCTGTGTATAACCACATATATTGTTGAAAAGATATGTGTAGTACAAAAAAAGTACAGCTTTTCAGACGTCTGAAGACACGTCATGGTTTGTGTGTTCCCCTCCGGCACTGTGCGCAACAAACCAGCTACGCTCAGCAGCTAATCACAGGATTATTCTGCTTAACTAAGACTATTAAGTGTTCCACATTCAAATGGCGTCTCCCACGGGCAGACCTTGGAGAGGATCATCCCTCCACTATAGAGCTCTCACAGAGAACTGAATACTACACAGAGGACCCACGGGAAGGGCCTGGGAAAAGAAAGAAAAAAAACCCTTGTATACCAACAGGATGTCACGGTAGGTTACACTTGGGGCACAGAGGTAGACAGAAAGAGACAAACTGCAAAGGAAGAAGATGAACTTTGGAGGATCACAGAGATAAAAACTGCAGTTTCTTGAATGACCTCACCTGGCTTTGCAGAACAGTATGTACCACACACACACAATGCACAATACACTGCTTTACTCTAAAGCTCGGCTGTCACCTTTGCAGTGTTGATAGAGTATAGTAGTGCTCTTACTATTTAAATGAACCTTAATCACAGTTAATGAACATCAATGTGCTTCTGCAAGTTGATTTCCTGATTTCTTTCATTCATTTCTTTCATTTTATTCTCCATTGTTTCATGCAACAGATGTGGAGGTGCAGAAAGAGCTGAATTATTGAGACAAAAAACAACACATCCAGTGAGAACAATATCTCTTCTGTCTTCCTTTGCTTGGCAACGCTGCTCTTGCCTCCGGGTCCACGGTTGACATCTGCCCTGTTTATCTGGAGCGACGAGCCAGCACTGGGACTGTCTCTCATGTCATCTCTGACATGATGCTCCTGACGCTGACAAGGGATAACGCTGCTGCTGCTGCTGATGATGATGATATCTAACACTGGCCAGTCACATATCTGACAGTAGTGCAGCACAGACATATTGTTAAGGCAGCAGCAGAGACAGAAGGAGCAGGTCAGTGTGGAATCAATGCCAATGGCCCTATTTATCTGGAAGTGTGCCGTCTGGACACCTGTGACCACAGCTCTGTAATCCTCGTGTAACCTTGTCGGTGAGTATTAAATATTAAATGTGAAAATTAAGCATCAAAGTATTTCATAGTGTAGATATACAAGTGACAGAGAGTTCTGGATATTACATTGGCTTTCGCTGTTGGCTGATTTGTGGGCAAACCGATGTGAAATAAGATGCCTTGTCACAGCTTTTGCCTTCGTTCCTATTGTTATTCCTCCAGTGTAGTCGATCATTAAGTGAACACAATGAGGGCTTGTATCTCTGATATTTTAAGAGGCCCCAAGGTCTGACACTGAAAGAGAAATCCGGCCTTATAAACAGCCTCTGTTCTCACAGGAAGTCAAAACAATGAGCACAGTTTGGTTTGTCTGATTTAAAGTGGCTGTTTTATATTCTTGCTGGGTGTACAACAAACAATAGATCTTTTTCACAGCAGCCATTTTGACATAAACAGTAGGGTAAGCACAGGTTACACCAATGATACTAATTAATGTTTCTGTTTTAGGGTGCTGCTATTTTGAGCCTTAATTAGTATCATTCATAACACCTGTGTTTACCCTACCATTTAATGTCAATGTGGCTGCTGTGAAAAAGGTCTATTTTGCAATTTTAAGGCTTATTTTTTTATTGATCCTCATCAGCTGTCACAAGGCAAAATCTACTCTTCCTGGGGTCCAAATTATTTGCAAGTTAATATAACAATATCTTAATTGTTGACATTCTATTTTTCATTGTTCAAATAATTAATAATCCTCATTATTTAGGATGTTTTTTCACCTGGAAAACATTTAGTTCAAAACTTTGAGAAGGTACAAAAGTAAATGCTTAACTACCCACAAGTGTCACGTGCTCTTACTGTGAAAGAGGAGGGTTTTTAGCTGTGGCCTAGAGGGCAGTTTACAGCCAAGTGGGTATTTATAAATGTAGATCTGAGTGCCAGATCAGCATATCCATAACAGGCATACTATTATATTTATATACTGATATAATTTGGCCAGCTGTTCCAACATAAGTCTCTATTATCTCTTTATTGTCACTGTTTGGGGCCATTCAGGTAGAATCGCTCTGTCATTTAGTCCCTCTCTCTGAAATACTCTGCAGAGCTGTGATAAATGTTCAAAGTTAGTGGTTTATAACAGTACTCTCAGCTTGGGTGGTTTCTGTAAATGTTTAATTTCCTCCCTCTCCCCTTTCCTGAGGGGTGGTGTGGAGCTTAACAAATAGACGCCTGTGGTTTTGCCCTCCAGAGGAGAGCGTTAAATAGGTGAAGCTGAACATTGCTCTCATTAGTTACAGATGCAGTCACCTGCCACTCACCAGAGACTGATGCCAGAAAGTTTCCACAGCTATTTCTGCCCGGAGACACTTGAGGAAAGGCTCAGACTCTGTGAATGGCTGTAAACTCGGTGGAATTTATTGTACTTGCTGGGGACCATGCAGATAACAGGAGGAATCCAGCCTCATCTCCAGCCTGCGGGAACTGTAGTTTTGCTCTGAAAGTGTTTCTCTTGAGTGTGGCGATACGTTGTTTGTGTGTGTTGATTTTCCTCCCCTTCCATCTGTGGATCCAATGTTCATTTCTGAGCCTGCTTAGTGGCATATGAGACATAATTGTCTACTAGATACATACCTACATGTTCGTCAACAGTGATTTCAAACTGTAACTTTGCACTTTGCAGTGTGAGCATCCGTCCGTGAGAGTAAATCATGGCCAGCATGGCGGTTCAACTCCTTGGCTTCTTCTTGGGGCTGTTGGGGTTTGGAGGAACTGTAGTTGCAACTCTGCTCCCCCACTGGCGCTGCACAGCCTATTTGGGCTCCAACATCATCACAGCCACCGCCTACATGAAGGGCCTGTGGATGGAGTGTATATGGCACAGCACTGGCATTTACCAATGTGAGATGTACAGATCTCTACTGGCACTGCCGCGCGACCTGCAGGTACAACACACTCACCATTTAGTCCAAAGCACCTCATGTTATCATGGGAAGATCGTCTGAAAGGACCAAAAATGATACTCTAATTAAAAGTATTTTGATAATGTATTAATCGTACAGTTTATAGTTCGCTTTAAATTCAGGTTAGCTTTAGTTTTTATTATTTTCACAATTAGTTTTAGTTTTTTGTTAAAATTTTGTTGGTATTTATCAGGGGTGAGATTTAAGAAGTTCAGAATATGTATTATAATACAAATATATGGACGCAAAGTCATGTTGACATCCCAGTCTCAACGATATTTCCTGTATATTTTTTATTTTATTTTAGCTCACTATTATTTCAGTTGGTTTACGTTTTTATTTTTTATTTCAACTAACTAAAATGTTTTTTGAAGTAATTTTAGTTTAGTTTTAGTTAACTATAATATAACTATAATATCCTTGGTTCATCAGTTATTGTTCATGCTTACCATTCTCTGATTTCAGCTTCTCAAATGTGAGAATTTCCCGCTTTTCTCTGTTTTACATCCTTATAAACTAAATATGTTTAATTTAAACTATTGTTAGAAGAAAAAAAGGAATTTGAAGATGGGTATTTGGACTTTTTTCATTATTTTCTGATATTTTATAGACAAAACAGTTACTTGATTAGAGCCCTAATCATTAGTAAATAAGCAATTTTTAAATACACTGATAGATGGACAGAAGTAGCTGTGTAATAACCAAAATTATAAGCAATAAAATGGATTTTTGCTCTATTTAGTACCCTACACTCAGTGATTGTGTTTCTATTTGCTCTTGTATGAAAAAGTAGCAACACAATCATGCGGCCCAATGTTTGCTAACGCTAGCAAACATTACATTATTAAGTCCCTTTGCTCACTTCATGATACTTTACAGCTGGTGCTACTGTGAAACTACATTTCAGCATTCATCATTATCCCATAAAAGTTACATAGTATTTAAATGTAAACTGGGTTATATGTAAAACAATGTACACTGAGACCATGTAAACTTGATTTATTGCCAATAACTGCTACAATACAGAATGACGTTTTCTCAAATATTTGTCTATTCTCCTCCACATCAGGCTGCCCGGGCACTCATGGTGCTCTCCTGCGTCACCTCAGTCTTGGCATCTGTGGCTTCTGTGATGGGGATGAAGTGTACCCGTTTTGCCCGCGGCTCGTTGATCAAGTCTCCCCTGGCACTGAGTGGGGCGATTTGTTTCCTCTGTGCCGGCCTGCTCTGCCTGGTCACCGTGTCCTGGACCACCAACGATGTCATCATGGACTTCTACGACCCTTTCCTTCCCAGCGGGATGAAGTACGAGATCGGCCTGGCTGTGTATCTCGGCTACGCCTCGGCCTGCCTCAGCCTGACTGGAGGACTGGTGTTGTGCTGGAGCAGCAGTGGCGACAGGTCACAGAGCCGCCCCCGTATGCAGAGGAATCAACCATTATCACCTCCCCCCGCCTTCAACAACATATATCCTCCTGCTCCACTGTACAAGCCCCCCGAGGCCCTGAAGGACAATCACGCGCCCTCGCTTTGCTCCCTCTCTAGCAGTGGCTATAGGCTCAATAACTACGTTTAAGACTGAAGGAAATACTGACACGATAACTACAAAGCCACAGTACAACAGTCAATTGAACGCTTCATAAACTTAATCTTTAATATCTTTACAGGTGTTTTTGACTCCTTCATACCTATAAAACAAGTGTGAAAAAGACCAGTATGTT